CTGCAGCGGGAACGGCAGGAAAAACGCGGCGGGACGGAGGGACCTCCCTCCCGCGGTGCCGCTCAGGCCCGGTCGGGATGCACGGGGGCAGCACCGGCCCCGGGGCCGCCGCGGGCTCCTGATGCGGGGCCGGGGCGCGGGGAGCAGCGCCCGCTCTGCGCCTGCCTGTGGTTTGCAGCTTTCGGTTCGGAGGGGGAGGCAGCAGCTCGGCGAGAGGCACCAGCTCCTGCGCGGAGTTCGCTGCTTTGATGCGTTTTGTTTTGCTCTCGCGGCAGAGCAGCCCCGGGCTCTGCCCTCGGCAGCACCGAGTCGGAGGAGGCCGCGCAGCTCCCTGCAACCCACGCTGGAAACGCCGGCGCGAGGGCAGGGAGCTGCCGGCCCCCGACTGCAGGTACGGCCGAGACAACAGCCGTGGAAATTAAATATTTCCTTGGGGGAGCAAAGGCCAAGGGCTCTGCAGCGGGAAAGCCTGCGGCGGCACCGGTGACGCAGAGCCAAAATGGAGAAGTTACCCTGCAGGAGGAACAAGGAAACCCGGGGGTGGCCCAGTGCTGTCCAAAGGGAGAAGCCGCCACACGTGGACATCGCTCTCCTTGTCCGTCCTACGCTCAGGGTGAACAGGGCCACCCTCGTCCCGTTAGTAACAATGTCCATGAGCGTCCAGCTCCATCGGCCCTTGAAACCTTGGATTTTCCGCTGCGACCACAAAGACCCAGGAAGCTGCATAAGGAAAACCTGGCGTGGTCGGAGAGACCTGGCACAGCCAGGAATCCAGGAGCCGAGACAGACAAACAGTAATAGAAAAAAGTCTCCCAAAGGACTCAGAATGGGGCGTGAGGAAGGGGATCGTGGGGCTGGAGCAGGGCCGGTTGCCGTGTACCCCCCACCAGGCTCCCAGGTCCTGCTGCTCCGCGCAAGCTCAACCGGTTGCCGCGCACCGGGATGCTGCCCCTCCTCCCACTCCAACGTGATGGATCCAAGGGGACACCATTCCTTTGCCAACGGGACCGGAGCCAGCCAGCAGGATCCTCACAGACCTGCCCTACATCCCTGTAATGCAGCAGCTGGGGACAGAGCATCAGCCCAGACACGGCACCAACCCCAGGGCCGGGCAGCCAGAAGGGGCTGCCGGGATGGGGCACAGGGAGAAGCTCCTGCCAACCCATCCAGCCTCCCCCCCGCCGGCACGGAGCCGCCGTGGTGCACGGCTAATCCGCCGGCACGTGCCCCGGAGAGACGCGCTCGGCAGGAGGATCTGAGGATTAAGCTCGTTTCAGTGTCGAATTAGTCCTGATGGGGGTCTGGAGAGACAATTTCATCCCAGCAGCCACGCTCCAGTGAGCACCGACCAGACAAATCCCGTCACCTGCCAGGCAGGATTTGCAGCGCCGGCCCCGGCGGAGCCGCTCGCTCGCACGCACGGGTGGGCAGCGTCCCCTGCCTCGTGCAGGGACAAGAGCGGTGCCGGTCCCAGGACTCCTCCAGCACGGAGCCGACCCGCGGGGCTCTGCCTCCAGCCCCGCATTCCTTCCCTCCTCGCAAGCCGGCACGTTTGGCAGCTCGCCGCATCGCACCGCGTCCTGCGCACACGGGCTGCCCGCTGGAAACAGAGCTGGTCCCCGGGGAAGTGCTAAGGAGCAGGGGAGGATGCAGTGGAGACGCAGCCAGGCACGCCGCGCTGGACCCGCGTGCCTTTCCCAGTGCCACCCTGCAGGCAGCTGCCGGGCAGAGGGACAAAAAGGGGGAGCTGAGCCCGGCCATCGCTCAGCCCCTCCACGGCCCCCGCGGTGCCCCGGCTCCCTGCTGCGCTGAGCACCAGCCTTTTCCCCAGTTCCCTCCCAGCACAGCTCCACATTAAACCAGAATTTACAGGACACAGCAACAGGAAGACGGCGAGTCGCAGCGAGAGGAGAGATTGCAAAACTCACCAGCGGCTGCTCAGATGTGGAGCCGGTCACGGCCGCGCGCCGGGTCGGCCGCGGCGTTGCAGCGTGCGGCACCGCCGGAGCCCGCGCCGGGGCCCGCGCT